TCACCACATTTGCCACCCTTTCAAGAGGTGAGTGAAGAGGTGTCACAACACGAGAGCGTTGAGCAAAGAGTGGCCACAAATGTGTCACAACAGCTCTTAAGCACTGCTTTCGACGAACAAAAAGCGGTCAAAGAATCTCCAGAATCGGTGACCCAATCGGATACCAGCGCTCATGCGTTCGGTGACCAACTGGTGGACCAGTCTTCGCACCAAAACATCGAATACCAGAGCGAACAGCGATTTAGTGGTCATCCCATCCATCAGTATATCTATGACGAGGAGGAGGAGGACGAAGAGGAAGACGAGGACGACCTCCATGTGAGCGCTCCCGCCATCGGTGCACACATTGGCGCCGATGAAGACATGTTTGGTTCGCACGTGAGTCACAATACTCGCGGCGAACCCATCGATGACTTAATTCAAGGATCAAATGACTCGCAAAAGATAACTAAAGAAGAAATTCTGTATCAATTGTCTGACGACAACGTATTGACGGCTCAGAGCTATGGAATTGGCAGTGATCTGAGAATTGGTTCCCATTTGGACCACACTTTAGGTGATGTTTCCACTGAATATCAACTGAACACTGAAGACCCGTTTTCGACGCCTCAGAAGCAGAAGACGGACAACAGACAGACGGAGGAGAGTTTCGAGCGATTTGTGGACAAATGCGAACCCTTTGAGACAATTGGCACCGATTTCGGCATCACTTCCAAAGAGGCGACCAATTCTTTGCTAGACTTTGGTTCAAGTGATGCTCAGATGACAGGTATTAGTGATGCGCCCAAAGTCTCGGACTCTAAGCTCGAGTCGACGCTTGAGTCTGAATGGGAGACAAACCACTCCCTAAGCGGTGAACAGTTCGTAGAGTTTGCGGAGGAGTCGTATGGCTCGCCATCTGGTGCTGAGCGCACACACACTCAACACATGGGCTATGATTCAGACTCGTCGTCAACCAATAGAAGTACTGATATATTCACTGCTAATACCACTATAACTAACATAACTAACACTGAATTGAGTCCAACGCTAACTCTGTCTCCAAATTTAGACACTTTTGAGCCAACACTGCAACCAACCAAACACACACCAGTCTTCACACCTCCCATCACTTCCAGCACTTCCGCCACTTATACTCAACCGCGAGAGACCATCGAAAGTGTCGATACCATCCGAGAGTCACCCATTGAGCCGAAGGTTGCAAAAGAGAGTCGCAAAGAGATTGAATCCAAAGTTGA